AGTATCTTCACACAAATAAAGTACAACTCTTTACTATAATATTCTGCAGTTTCATGAGATGTCAAAGTATAGTTTTCCTAAAACATGCATCTGTAAATGGGTGGTGCCAGATTATTAATAGTTTATTCTATGTCTATGATAGATATCGATGTCTTCATTTAGGCCATTATCATATCATTATCATATCATTTCAAAATTTTCAATATTGCCCAGCACTACCATAAAATTAATTATGAGTGTGTCCTAAATATGAATATGATTAAAAGGCATTAGTGACTAGGCCAACTTTTAGGATAAAAATTTAATTTTGTAAAATCTACGTGTAAAAATTAATCTAAATCCGCTAAATTTTGAGTTGTACACAATTTTAACCATGTTGTGAGATTGATGGACATAAAGCACAGGTTGCAACCTGTGACTCTCACTACTAGAACATAGATCTATATTCCACACTATCAGTGAATGGTTTATTCACTGATCTAGACTATTCTATAACTCATTTGCTTTACTGACCTAATAAATCAACAACAGTTACAGTCTACTTCCTCTTCCTCACTGTAAATCTTGCCGTTGACTTTGAAGTTGTTCTCTGGGGTTGTTCAAAATTAGGTGATCGACACGCTATGGACCTGGTCTGGCTAGCGAGACTATATGGACCCAGCTATGATTTCACCAGAGATGGACATTTCGTCTTGTAAAATTGTTTAATTAATAATGATGATGATGAAACATGGCCGGACCGGATGTTCTATGGTTCTAGGCGTTTCATGCTCTGATGTTCATACAGAGCTAGAGCTTGGCAGGTTGCTTGACCCACTTCCTGCTCAAGTGAAATGTATTATTAGTATGGCGAAAGTCACGTGATTAATGAGTTTGAAGGGTCAAGCAACCTGCAAAGCACTGTATCGGGGTGTACAGAGCTTTGCAGGTCGCTTGACCCAATTTTCTTACTTCCTGCTCACGTGACATGTATTATTAGAATGGTGAAAGTCACGTGATTAACAAGTTTGCAGGGTCAAGCAACAATATGCAAAGCACTGTATTTCAATTCAATCATTTAATTCAGCAGAATAGATCTACGTCATATTACGTTTTCATTCACAATAAACTTGACATTTTATCATGCATCATATTTGCTGAAATTTTCCTTTTCATTTAGTGTATGCAGTCTGCTAATGCATGACTTTCTCCATCTCTTCAATATTACCTAAAAAGATGATTTTGACAATTGTACCAAAACTACATGTAAAAACACAATCCTGTTAAGACTTAAGATTAGGCCCACTACAATTACTGTCTATTCTCAAGCTACAAAACCATTAAGAAAAAGTCCCAATTAAGTAAAGCATTACAGAAAAAATTGGCTAGAAAGGTGGGGCTTGAAAAACAAAGTTTCAGAAAATAACAGCTCTTCTACTTGACACAAGTTCTAAATATTTAATACACTGAAACATCATGCAGTGCTATAAAGAATTTTTGCCTAATTCAACAAAGCTAAAAGATTGGCTTGAGTAAAAATATGCATGCGTGTGCTCTTATGTTATGCATAGATTTATTTTGATCAAAAATGGATCTTTATTGAAATTGCTTCATTCTGTATTTTAAATAGAAATCGGTTCTGGTGAATGGCAGTGAATTACCTCAAGCTGTTTTGGAATATACAAGAAATAATGATAAAATTGTTAAGGACTGAGTACTGTGACAAGGTAATTGATATTATACTATACATGATTAAGTAATATAATACTTATTATTATTATATTAATTAGATATTGTCCAAGTATCAAGATGAATTGTTACCAGCTGAATCGTTTGAGGAATATTGTGACGTAATGGGTTTGTGTGTACTTCTCTTATTGCTCCTCTCTTCAACTTCTTTTCTATTCATGTCTTCACTTTTCTTCGCACTTTTTTACATTCTTATGTTTTCATTCTCTGGTTCTACAGGTTTACTTAATGTTATTCAAAGTCCTTCTACTTTCCTCAAAGATGTGCTATCATCAGTTACTGTTTCTTCTTCCTGATGCTGTGTGTGTGTGTTTCTGCTTTGAATTAACATTGAATATTATTACTGTTGTGTTTACTATTATTATTAGCTCTAGAGTGTACTTCTTTCCTTTTCTTTTCTCTTAGTATAATTAGTATTTTTTTCTAAAAACAAAAATGTAGCAGATTTAAGCAGAAAAGACTATACAGAGCTCTTAAAGCTCATATTAACTAGCTGCATGCCCAGACTTCTAGTTTGCTGTTTACATAACACAAATTAAAGCATCATTATTTTTGCCATTTATCATCCCACATAAAATTTGTAGCGAGTAATTTACTATGGTATGCACATGACTTAATTATGTGTTATAAAAGTGATTAGAAACGCTTCACCCAAAAAGACTAAGTCAATGCAATGGCTAAAAGAAGTCCTTCTTTGTCTACTTCTTCATCTGGCACTGATTGCACTCCTCTTTCTCCTAACCACTCAGTTATGAATGAAAAACCAGATCTGAAGAATGTGTGTGCTATAGTGAGGACAAGCAGATGGCATCAGTTGGGTATACAGTTAGGAGTTGATGAGGAAATGCTGCAGGATATAGAGACTGACAGATCAGAGACACAAGATAAAAGAACACAGATGTTTCGTCTTTGGATAGCAAGCCAGCTTAATGCAAGTCACAATCAACTGGTTGAGGCACTGAGGCTCAAAGTAATAGGAGAGGACAGAATGGCTCAGGAATATGAAGAAAAGGTGAAGGAGGAAGCATCTAAAACCACAGAAACTACTCAAACAGGTAAATCACGAAGTGTAAAACAAATTTCTCATAATAACTTTGTGCTGTTATTATTGTTATTTATTATTATTGTTGTTGTTGTTATTGTTATCATTATTGTTTATTATAATTAATTTAGTCATTATTATTGTTATTATTATTATTGTTGTTGTTGTTGTTATTACTATTATTATTACTATTATTATTACTATTATTATATTGTAAATAATTTGCTAATAGTAATTGTAATTATAAATTATAATAATGGTGGTGGTAATAATAATTAAATCATTCACATTTTAATTATTTACAGGAGCTCAAACTATGGACATATCATCATTTTCAACAGCACCTGCTTGGAGCACAATCACAGGTACAATGTGCACTGTAATGACCATGCAATAGCTAAAAAATCACACTTGCTATCATTGAGCATCTCTTTCCCTTTCTTTTATCCTAGTTGTCACTTCAATGCATCAGAAAGCATCAGAATTAGATCTACTAACAGTGCAAGCCCTTCAATTGGAAGAAAAATATCGTCAGTTCCTTCAGCAAATACAACAGCTCTCACAAAATGCCAATGTAGAAATAGTTAAAAATCAGCTAACAGATATATTGCAAGGAAAGTGTCTTAATCAGTTGCATGGAATTAGCTCTTACTTGGAAGTAATCAATAAAATTACAAGCATGAGTGAAGTATTTAACTTCCTCATTAAAAATCGTTTTGTTGGTTACCTAAATTATTACCTTCTCAAAGAATTTTCAAGCGAGGTTATATGTGGAGATGGGTATGAAAAGGCACAAGCTGAGGTAGTAAAGTACGAGGAGAGCTATTGTAAGTTCATTGAAGAGCCTGCCTTCTGCCAACTGATTGAGGTCTTTGATGAGAACCCTCATTTAAATCCAAGCACTGTAGTAGGACTACCAATTGTTGTTATTACTCTTTCAAAAAAGTGGAAAAGTCGAAGTAAAAAAGATCTAAATGAATGGGTGCTTTTTCTAAAAGAAAACAAAGACCTACTCCAAAGTATGGGCTACAATTGCATAGTAATTACTTATGCCATTTTTCCTGTTCACCTGCTTGAAGTTATGAGATTTTTAAGCAACGAAGAACACATGAAAAAACTTCAAGAAAATGGAATAACAATTGAAACTCCTTCATATACAATGGAAATAGCAGAGAGGCTGAGAAAAATGGAGTTTAAAAAATCACCAACAAAAATCTCATCAGAGGTTTTGTTACGAGCTTTATCAAATAAACCTCTTCGAAAAACCGTTTCAAGTGGCCCTGATAGTGGTTACTCTTCACAAAATAATTCTCCGCTGTCAACATTATCAAAAACTCCTTCAAAAGCAAAATAGTGCAAGAATACAACCACAGCATGAGTGTAACTTTTGTGTGATAGTTTTTCCACTTGGAATTTGCTGCTTTTAAAGCATTATTGTTGTTGTTATTATTATTTATATACATTTACTTTTTTTAATGTTTTACATTGTCGCTAGTTTTTAAAAGGCTGAGAGTTTGTAATGAAATAAACAAGTTGTATGCATCAAATGTACACAAGTTCATAACTGAGTTTTAATGGCTTCAGATTAATGGCTTGTTACAACTAATTTAAAATAAAACAACTTCAATGTATGCATCATTTCACTCAGTACAGCTAGCCCACACAAAACAAATACACTAGATGTCTACCATACTGCATAGGGAATTACTATGGTATGGGAATTTTTAAGATGCCTAATGGTGCATAAAAAGAAAGTCTAAAGAGCAAAAGAAGACCAAGTATGGCTAAAAGAAAAAGTGCTGCTTCATCTACTTCTTCATTCATTGATTCCACTCCTCTCTCTCCTAAAGTCTACTCAGTTCCAAATAAAAAGCCAGCTCTTAAGACTGTGTGTGCTATAGTGAGGACAAGCATGCAGTTGGCATCAGCTGGCCCGAGCTGGGCATACAGTTAGGAATTGATGAGGAAATGCTCCATGATATAGAAATTGAAAAATCTGAGATACAGGTTAAAAGAACACAAATGTTTCATTTTTGGATTGCAACTTGCAAGCCAACCAGAAGCTAGTCACAATCAACTGGTTGAGGCACTGAGACTCAAAGTAATAGGAGAGAACAGAATGGCTCAGGAATATGAAGAAAAAGTGAAGGAACTAGAAGCATCAAAAACTACAGAAAGTACTGAAATAGGTAAATCATGAAGTGTAAAAAAATTTGTCATAATAATAAATGATTATTTACAGGAGCTCAAACTATGGAAGTATCATTGTTTTCAACAGCACCTGCTTGGAGCACAATCACAGGTACATTGTAAATCTACACTGTAACAACCAATAGCTACAAAATCACATTTTATAACTCTTTCCCTTTTTTTCTAGTTGTCACTTCAATGCATCAGAAAGCATCAGAATTAGATCTACTAACAGTGCAAGCCCTTCAATTGGAAGAAAAATATCGCCAACTCCTTCAGCTGATACAACAACTCTCACAAAATGCCAATGTAGAAATAGTTAAAAACCAGCTAACAGATATTGCAAGGAAAGTGCTTAAATCAGTCGCATGGAATTAGCTCTTACTTGGAAGTAATCGATAAAATTACAAGCATGAGTGAAGTATTTAACTTCCTCATTAAAAATCGTTTTGTTGGTTACCTAAATTATTACCTTCTAAAAGAATTTTCAAGCGAGGTCATATGTGGAAATGGGTATGAAAAGGCACAAGCTGAGGTAGTAGAGTATGAGAAGCACTATTGTAAGTTCATTAAAGAGCCTTCATTTTGTCATCTGATTGAGGTCTTTGATAAAAACCCTCATCTAAATCCAAGTACTGTAGTAGGACTACCAATTGTCATTATTACTCTTTCAAAAATGTGGAAAAGTCGAAGTAAAAAAGATCTAAATGAATGGGTGCCTTTTCTAAAAGATAACGAGCACCTATTTCAAAGCATTGGCTACAAATGCATACTAATTACTTATGCTATTTTTCCTGTTCACCTGCTCAAAGTTATGAG